TCACCAACGCAATATGATGTCCTGGAAATAAATGTCTTTTCATAGTCTGTGAAAAACTTTTGATATTTCTTCAAAGAAAACTGTTTACAATCACTAACTTCAGGTGGTAAGAAACAGAGTTATCTCCCTTTCAATGAATCTCTGCTTTCAGTTAGAATGTTGAATTTTGGGCATGGAGCCTTCAAAAGACCTTGAATTTAACTATTTCCTTTGTTAATGGCTTATGGCTGATAATCAGTCTGAAACTCATTTTAATTTGTGACTACAGATTTGTTTCTTTGCCTCTTGTGACAGATTGACCGGTGATTTCTTCATAATGCACGATCTTCCATTTTCTGAGCTTAACCACAACTAAGTTGTAGGGACGTAGGTGTCCAAATTCAAATGCACTGAATAAACTGAATGTTATAGTTCTGTTGAACTGCTATTGGGAGGAGATTATTGGTGTGTGAAAGTAGTGACAGTTTCAAAGGTAAGTGTTGGTATACCAAGATGAACATAAGCACATTAGGAGATTCTAAGTAGGACTGAAGTAGTGAACCGAGTTCCATCAAGTAGAGAGTGGTGGCGTAGTGTTAAAACATTTGCTCATTATGCCTATGGCCAAGGTTCGATTCCCCACATAGGTACAGTGTGTGAAGCCCATTTCTGGTGTCCCCTGCCATGATATTGCTGGAATATTGCTAAAAGTGACGTAAAACCTTACTTGCTCATGCCATCAAGTCGTCTCTATCATAGGTCTGGGTTAGGAGTTGTCAGTAGAATACACTTATGATGAAAGTTACAGAGGTTGATCCTGGAATTTGAAGAAGAGGTGCACACCATACAAGGTCTTGAACTGTTTAAGAACAGTTGACAGGTGTTATGAAAGGGTGGTTGGCTGGTTGAACCCCATGTTAATAATAATTTAATTTTATATATCAATCTTATATTCTTTACAGAGCTACAGATAACTTTTTTGGGTCATCTCAATTGGGTATCCTAATTTTCCTTTAAGTAACCAAATAGATTGTACTTACCTCACTCAGGCTCAGTTGGGTATTTTGCCATATTCCTTTGATTTTAAAACTATAATAGAGTTTAAATGTTAGTGTTTGTTATTCATATTTGATCTGTAATATGAGAAACGCTAAGAAAGACTGCAAGTTGCCAAGTTCATGCCCTGAAATGTAACCTCTCAATATACCGCAGTTATTTATCTATCCACCTGTACACGTGCTAAGATTTGACATTTTTGTGAGTACACATGTAAGATCACATTTATTGAGTATTTACAAAAATTCAAGTGTACTTGTATGCAACAGACTTAATAGGAATTGAGATTTGACATAAATATTTATGTAATTTATGCAGATACGCAGCTTATCTGTACCTCGGTCTTCATGTTCAGATGAAAGGAAAGTGCTTAATTGATACCCTATCTTCCATTAACAGACATTTCTCTACAAGTTGATACTAGAATTCATATTTTATATGCATGACTCTACTTTATAGAGAGTTTTTGTTGACCAATAGGACAAATAATCGTTTTAAGGCCCCTTGGAAAATATTTTTTTCACAATCACTTTCCAATGGATATCTGTGTGTGTTTGTGTTACTGTATTGTACCGGTACTACCTCCAGGGACTTGGTATCTTAAGGAGCCTTTTGGGGACTGGAAATAAAACATGTACAGTGGCAAAAGAATTATTGGTTATTTTTAGATATGCGAAAAACGCTTCCGGAATAATATCGTTTGAATAGATTTTGTTTTACTCGTAAGCCAAAAATGAGCAAGGGTTAAAATACAACACTTAACGCTCATAGAAATCTACTTGTCACAAAAATTGCAACTATTCAAACGAAAATATGTTTTTCTTGAATTTTTGTTGTAATTATGTAAATAATCTGGCCCAGATTCGATTATTTACAGACAGCTGCCATATAGCTGGAATATTGTGAGTGTGGCATTAAATAAACAAACTATGTAAACTGAGTAGGCCCAAAATGGTACACGTCACGGCTTATCTTTTGAAATGATGCAGTACATATCACTGGAGGTCTGAAGTGATTGATTCAGAAAAAGCTTGACGCAGGAGTTGGGAAATAATATTGAAGCTACCCTGCTCTCATGCTATGATTTATTTACCTATATTGTCAGTTGTTTTGTGTAGGTGATAAGATGTACATTTTGGAGGTGTTAAAGGTCACCAGTCTTGTTTCAATTTGTATATGGATATTTTCTTGTCATACTTTAGTTAGGAACAAATTGTAAATTTGATTTCTTGGAGTATTTTCAGTTTGATGTTATGATTCTGTTCAGTGTTGTACTGCGTTGTGCATATAACTTTAAGTGAATGTTTCACAGGCATATCCTGGAATTTTAGGGGCATTGGGGAGGATAAGGTGTTAAAGCCTTTTATTTGTCTTGCCAGCGGGCCAGGTATGAGAGGCCAGATGGGAACAATGCTTGAAGCCAATTTCTGGTGTTCCCACTCTGGTATTGCTGAAATACTGCTGAAAGTGGCATGAAGCAAATTTTTGTTGTTCCCAGCTCAGGGTCCCGCTTCACCAAGCTATCGTAGCGCTACGACTGTTGTAACTTCTATGCTGTAACATTGACTTACGACAGTAGTACTATGATAGCTTTGTGAAAAGGCCCCCTGGAATTTCTGAAATATTGCTGAAAGTGGCATGAAGTGCCAGTTCTGATATTGATGAAATATTGCTACAAACGGTGTAATACCCAACTTGCTTTCTCACTTTCTCTAGGACTTTGAAAGAAGTGGGTGCAAACTTTATCAAAGTTGTATAATGAACAAAAAGACATGAAAGTTAGACGTGATGGTGTCCGAGAAAAGGAGTGGTGTGCACCTTTACAGCCTCTAGATCTACATGTGACCTTTGTGTGTGTTTGTGAACCAAGGACTTCCTGTTATAGCTCCATTGGTAGTGAGTGTCTGGAGGACAGTGCTGGAGTCATGTTGTATATACTGATATGTTAAGGATCTTTGTTTAGACTAAGTCATGTAAACACTGACTTGTCGAATGGATGTCTACCTACACCAAACATTTAGAGTTGTCACAGTTGGGAAAATATCTGCAATAAAGTGATTTTCAGTAGTCTTGTTGTTTGTCTTGTGTCATGCTGCTTCATGTGTGACAAGTCCGCCTCCGTGGTGTAGTGGTTAGGGCGTCCACCTGGAGAGTGGAAGGTCGTGGGTTCGATCCCCGGACGCGTCATATCAAAAGACGTTAAAGTATGGTACATGTTGGTCCCTGCCTAGCACTCAGCATTAATGGGTACAATAAGGACTGGTCGGCTTGATTCAGTATAATGTGTCTGAGTGGGGTATTCATGCTTAACTGCGGCATGGTATCTCAGTGAGCTAGCACTATAAAACCAGTTATAAGTCTGGGCTAGCACAAGCAGCAAAACATACTCCATGCACATATGAGTGAAATATTCTTGAGTACGATGTTCAACCAGATTTCACCACACCTCTTCTCATGTGTGACAAGTGATTGTGGTATGCCATTGACAGCATTATTCAACTTGGTCATAGTAGCATGGAAGTGTGAAATGTGGCCCAGGGAGACCAGTGGTTGACTGCATGAGCAAGAATCCATGGTAGTAATATTGGGATGGCTATGTCTGGTTTGGCTGATCGTGTGGCAATTTAGACTTATGTCATTGGATAGGATACACCACATGCACAGTCTGAATCACTGTACATCAGTATTCAACTTAATCAAAGTAGCTTGGAAATATTGAATTGTGGCTCAAGGAGACCCGTGATAGACTGCATGAGCAAGAATCCATGCTAGTAATATTGGGATAGCAATGTCTGGTTTGGCATTACTGGTTTGTATATACCAATGACATAGGATACCCAACATGCCGAATCTGTCAGTCGCTGAGCACAGGGTCCTGACGACCAATTCTACTGTATTCCAAGGAATTTTCGTTTCTGTGGACCGATTCTGCATTGGTATTCCTGCAAACCTTTGGTTCTGAGGACCAATTCTATCGGCTTCCCAGGACCCACCAATTCCATGTGCATAGATGATCTGAACACCGATCATTTTCTGGCCTCTATGCATCTGACTGATATCTGTTTTACCGAATGCATGGTAAACCACTTCTGCTGAGTCAGCAACGATGATGGGGAAGGGGTGGTTGTACAACTGATTACCGTTGGAGTAGAGAGTTATACAAATGTTAGCAAGAAATGCCTGAAGTGATCATAGGCTGTGAATGTATGATGATGGGATCTGTCGTTCCTGGACGGCCTTGCTTCAAAAACCACACTCAGAAAACAACTGAAATTGTGTAAATTTATTTGTATTAGCCCAGCCCTCCATATTTGATGTATCATAGAAGTAAAGTTATAAAAATCTTACAAGTTTGTTCCCCTGTACAATTCATCATATGCATTCACGTGGCACAAACTTCCTAAGTGAGACCAAAGCAATTTTACAATATAGAAAATTTACCGTAAAAAAACAATATCCTTTAAAGATCTCTTACGTTCATTTTTTAACCAAACCGAGTGACCCAAACAACTTCATTACAGATAAAACTGTGAAAACATAATTTGCCCTTAGATAGCAGTCAAACAATCTATATGTTCTGAACACGTGCATAATCGACACAAACAAATTATTCTGTGCTTATAAATGTTTTATTACTGGTGGAACACGGTATACATGAAAAGTGGGATTTTCAAAGAATCGACTGGTTTGGCCAACCGTATCGCATAAATAATACCTCAAATACTAGAGTCAGTGAAGGGATTAGTGTTAGCAGCACACGACTCCAATTAAACAGCCATTAAACGCAGGTTGTAATAATTTAATATTTCACGGTAGCTAAATACGGCAATTAGCCAACATTAAATTCCTATTCACAATCAGAATTTCTCTATCAGCAAAATCATGCGTATCTTTATTAGACTCAAGTACAGACGGACCATTTGTTATAGCCATTTCCAAACACGGACCTCCACACTTTATCTCCATATCTGAAATTTTATGTTGACACGTGGGAGCCGACTTTTCAATAACCGTCTCCTTTTATCTCGAGTCCAGAACATAAACAATCACAAATTCTTGCACGATGGTGAATCACGTGACCATGGCGTGAGGAATTCCAAGCAACGGCAGTTTACATCCCAGCGAAGAGTGGTCCGCGCGCGAAGGTCAGTAGAAAATGTTTATTTTGAGATTGTAAATACTGTTGGTGGATGCGAACTCCACTTGCGTATTTAAAGTATTTTAATAAGAAAGTTCAATTTAATTTAAAAATATTTATAATTTTAAACGCATGAGTGGTACGTAACGTTCAAATCTCTGTAACTGGTGACCTATCCATGGTGTAGGTAGACTAACGCTTAGTCTCTGGATATATAATTTTGATTGTAACAGATAAACCCATTTAAACTGAAAAGGAGCCCCAGTGAGATAGGGAACCTGGGGAAATCTAGACTTGCTTCATTTAGAGCTTTAGCATTGCAGGAAGGGCTAGGTTGTAGGGAAAATAATGTGGTTCAGGGACTGTGAGACAGATGGTCTATGGTCTATCTACTATAGTCTAGTGGATCCCGTTAGCAAGATTAAAACAAAAATGTTATTTGTTGTTTCCGTGCCTGATGCATGGTATTTAAGGTATGAGAGTGAGGACTGGTGAGATCGGGAGTCAGGATACTGTGTCTGAGTGATGTAGGTTAAACGGTGGCATGGTATCTCAGTAGGGGAGCTTATAGTACCAGCATAAGAACGGACAGGCGGCCACACGAGTGCATCGCCTCATGAGTGCATACTTCGCTGTATGAGGGAAATAATCCTGAGCTCGACGCTTACCTCCCCTGATCTTACATAAATTAGACTTGCTCAAGTCTTTAAGGTTAAAATTCATAGTTCAAATGATAATTTCTGAAAAATAATAAAGTAACAGACTGGGGTCCTTGTACTGTCCCCGTATCTAGACTTGCCTCTTCGAAGGATAGAATTACTCTACATCCATAAGCTTAGCATTCAGTACAGCCTTGGAGCAAGGCTAGACATGATTGTACCAGCGTGTTTACAAACGGGGTCAGTGATGCCTTATAGGTGGAAGCACGTGTGACCTATTTGTGCGGTATTTCTTTGTCAGAATGGCTCGACTTGGATTGCTGTTGATGACAGTGACATGGACACTTTCTGCCGAGAGCGAGGTGAGGTACAATGTGTCGTCTGCTTCCCTATCTTAGACTAAACTCGTGCATCTACACAGCACCTCACCGCTCCCTGTTGCCATTACTAATCTGACAACGGGCGGTAGGGTAGCCTAGTGGTTAAAGCTTTCGTTCGTCACGCTGAAGACCCGGGTTCGATTCCCCAGATGGGTACAATATGTGAAGCCCATTTCTGGTGTCCCCGCCGTGATATTGCTGGAATATTGCTAAAAGCAGCGTAAAACTAAACTCACTAACCCGAGAACAACTAATCCACTCTAATGGATTCGAAGTCAAACAAATTTTAATGACAATAAGTAGGATTGAAAACAATCCACAAACCCAAACTTAGATGATAGTGTTAATTTGTTTATGGGCTGTAATAGGTTGTTAGCTAAAAAATTGAATTCATTCATGCTTTTTGTCTCCAGGTTAGACTTGCACAAGTCTCTAAAGTAATAATTAATAGTATAAACGATATCTTCTAAAATAAATATGAATAACAAACTGGCATCCTTGCCCGCTTATCTAGACTTGCCTCTCTGGGGGATAGAATTACTATACATCCATCGGCTCAGCATTCGGTACAGTCTTGGAGCAAGCTAAGGCTATCTCCAAGTTAGACTAACAACTAGTCTCTGAAATGAACATATTTTACTGAAAAAAGTTTATAGTAAAAAGATATAAAATATAATGAAAAGGAGCCCTGAGACTTTCTTCATTTTCAGAGGAAATCTAGACTTGCCACATTTTCTAGACTTGTGTGGGCTTTCTTGGATATATTTGCTTCAGGGTCTGTACGACAGACTATCTCCAGCTATGCTTATAAAGATACCAATGTTGTTTACATAGTGTGCTATATTGACCAGTTAGAAGGGAAAAGGATGCCTTAAGCAGTTGGTGCTCTTCATGTCACCTACATTGTCAATAAAATATATTAGAATAAACACAAACCTGAAAAATCGAAAAAATGCAATGTGTTGCCATATATTTATGCATATAGCAGAGTTAATTTCCTTCCCGTCCGGGATAGGCGTATACACCAGAGCAGGGGTGGAAATAACCCATTGCCCGACGTCCGAGTCCAGTGTTTTTTTCTGTCGGGCAAGCAAATTTGTATATCACACTGTACCGGTGTCCAGTTGACTTTCCAATGTTTATTATGTTGTTTATTTAAAAAATCAGCAAGAAAACGGTTGGTATAGTGGGAAAATAATCAGGACAAGTGACTTTACATGTGTCACTGTACCGGAGTACACTAGCAATTTTAAACTTATTTCCACCCCTGTCAGAGTTATCTCCTTTTAACCGACCTACGGCAGGTTTACTGTATTTTATTTGTATATTTAGGGAGTCAACCAGAAAAGATTCAATATTGAGGAGGGTATCACATTATGAAGTAATGGATTAGTTCGTCAAATAGAATGATGACCCAGTTGTGTATAACGTACAAAAAAAAAAAGTTTAAATGTAAATGATCATCACGTTGAACTTACATAGGCTTCTTTCATCGAAGACTTTTCTGCTTACAAGCCCTTGCGCAGTTACCAAAATTCACAAAATAGCGGACATGTACATTACGGTTTTTTGTCCCATGTCCTTTGGTTTTTTGTGAGGTTACGAAGAACTTTACATTGCTATATACCGGGAATGGCTCAGGATAAATTCAACAGATATTTGCCATGATGAATAGAGTAAGTGATCATAAATTTATCAACTGCAAAATCTTCTTTCTTAAAAAAATGAAACGCACGCGTTTTCAGCAGTTCATTTCGATATATTTTGACAGCATTCGTCATCAAGATAATTTCTATGCTTGAATCCCGTTAATCATGTCGTGGTTGTTTTGTATTGCGCGCAAACACATCCCAAAATGTGTTTGTAAACGTTTGTCATAAAAATTGAAAGCGATACATGAAAAATGCACGCAGAAAAGGTTTTCCACGTAATGCACGTGCAATGTGTCGGAAACATTGGCAAACCAAATTCATCATTTCATTACGAAATTTACGACGTAAACGGATAAAAAAAGGCCAAGATTGTATGCTACTGGCCGGAATACGGGCATTCGACGTTTGGAAACGTCCCAGTCTGCCGTTGCAAGACACTTCAACGTCCACCACAGCACCATATCTCGATTATGACATGGATATATCCGCTTCAATTTGACCCAAGATCGTCCCAGAAGTTGAAGACCAAGAGTGACCACTCCTGCTCAGGTCCGATTCTTCCGGGTGTTTCACCTATGTCACCGATCTGCTACAGCAACGGACACTGCAGAACATGTGCCTGGACCTCGACCAAACCACCAGAAATCGTCTGAGAGAAGTGAGAGTTCCAAAAGTTGGACCTGTCATGAGATGACTACACCGACAACGACGTGTCCAATGGTGCAACAGGGTACAGGCATGGAACACGGTAAACTGGCGACGCGTTTGGTTCAGCGATGAATCGCGTTTCCCCCTGCAACCACGGGACAACGTGTCTATCGACGTCGACACGAACGTTCTGCGCCGAACTGCGTTCGAGAGGTGGACAGACTTGGAGGAGAAAGCGTCATGGTGTGGTGAGCAATGTCCTACACAGGTAGACCAGAGCTAGTGGTGGTTCAAGGCAATCGTACAGCAAATTGCTGCATCGACCAAATCCTGCGCCCTCACCTCCTCCCACTTAGTAACCACCAGAGGGAGCTGTTTCAACACGACAACGCTGGACCACATACAGCTCGTGCAACAGGTGCCTATCTTGCCAATGCAAACGTCAATGCCCTTCCCTGGCCTGATCTGAACCTGATCGAGCATCTATGAGGCGAGTTTGATCGACACGTCCGTAAACGTCACCACCGTCCTCAGACAGTTGCAGAACTTGCCAACGCGTTGCAGGAGGAATGGCGAAGAATTCAGCCAAAATCCGACGACTTGTGCAATCTCTTCCAAGACGGTGTCGAGCAGTGACGGCTGCAAGGGGTGGTGAAACCAGGTACTCACATGAACGCCCCCATGTGTCCATATATGTGCAGTGAGTGAACTGAATTAATGCTGACAATGACACCAATACATATCTTCATCCGTGTGTCGAATTTCCTTCATCTCGGTTAGAATTGATCTTCAGTAACCCATGCTTGCCGTAAGAGGCGACTAATGGGATCGGTTGGTCAGGCTCGCTAACTTTGTTGACACATGTCATCGGTTCCCAATTGTGTAGATCAATGCTCATGCTGTTGATCACTGGATTGTCTGGTTCAGACTGGATTATTTACATGTCGCCGCCATATATGGTCTGAATATTGCTGACTGCGGCATAAAACTAATTTTTAAACTCACTCACTTATGTACACTTAAATACGTTTAATGCATTTCCTGTGCGTTTCTGTTTTGAGGAGTTTAAAACAGATAAATTCAAACGATTCACTAATCTGCACACATTTTAACTCCACGCTTAATGTACGTGTCATGATGAAACTACACCAGCCTTTCAATGTAAACAAAGAAATCGATGTTAACAGTAAAGTTACCTTGACTAATGAGTGAGTGAGTGACTATGGTTTTACGCCGCTTTTAGCAATATTCCACCAATATCACCAGAACTGGGCTTCACACATTGTTCCCATGAGGAGAATCGAACCCGCGTCTTTCGCGTGACGAGCGAACGCTTTAAACACTGGGATACCCCACCTTTGACTAATGAATGGCTAGTGGCACGCCTGGCGTCAATGGAGGGCGCTTTGACAACTCTGCAGTTGCTTTGACAGATAAGCACATATGCTATTCATGCTACCCAGTCAAAGTGTTTTTATAGTCTGTTACCTGCATAGTTTTCTAAGCCACACAGCGTGTGTCGAGTGTGACTACATGTTCCATGTTACAGTGCCATTGCCGTGAAACGTTGTTTTTTTTGGTCACCGGAAGTACTATACAACGTTAGGTCTCGCGTAGTCCCGTATCCTACTTACAGGCTCCATTTCTTTGCTAGAATGGCTCGGCTTGCTTTGCTGTTGATGTCATTGACATGGGCGATTTCTGCTAAGAGCGAGGTGAGGTACAATACAATGTGTCGTCTGATCCCAACTTGTATCTCTCACAATGTACGTGTGAGTCTTTGTATGTGTGTAGCGAACATGTTTAGTTAGCGGAACAGCCATTCCTCTCTTAGATTAAACTCATGCATGCATAGTACACCCCTACCTCACCCCTTCCCATAACTTTCATAATCACCCCTTGCTTTACAATTCGGCACCACAAACGTTACAAATTATATCACAATACCACATGACGTAATTTGTGAAACTTTGTTACCAAAAACAATACCCTGTGACGTCAGACTGCCGTTGGTTATCCAGTGTGCCTAAGCTCCTGTCGGTGACCCTACACACGCATTGTCACCGCCTGGTTCCCTAGCTGGGTCTGTTGCGCCTGCGCTAACGCTCCGACACTGTGTCAGTGTCTGTGTAGACTGTTCTACACGCAAGCCCTTCGCAATTCCCCTATCAGTTAATATATCAAGAACGACAGAACTACACAATCAAATTGTGTAAAGATATAAATAGGATAATACATTTCTGACATTTGTTATATGAACTGATCTGGAGTTCTGAAGCAATGACTCAAGGACTTCTGCCTTAAATACAACCACTGTCCGGGAAGACCCTTATAAGGAGTGACTGAACATGATGTGCAATCGTATAGGCATGGGTGGATCTGTTCCTCAAATTTAGATGTGCACAGTTTCTTTATGTGGCCAGTATACGTCAGTTTCTATGTACATGAGTAAAGCAAATTAATGCATGTATACCACCCTCTGGCTGAGTCTACAGTTCCATTACCCAACGCACAACAACACGTCGTTCTAATCAATCTCAGATAGATCGCATCAGTATGTTTAAAATTCCTCGTTCTTTTAACAAAGCAAGGGTTGAATGACAGTGTTTCAGTTATACTACTTAATAGAATGAGAGGCAGGCTCAATGGGTTGCAGATCATTATGATATCACACACCGTGTGACACAGTCAGCGAATCATTACGCGTCCAAGGGACGTAACTCTTTACAGTCCCCCGTTATAGGACGATTAGCTGTAGCTGATGGTTGATAAACTGCCGCCGCTCCTATCGGTCATACACCGATCGATGGCAACCGTTGTATGCTCGTCAGATAATAATGAGTCTGCTGGCGATGGAGACTGTTGCCGCAGTCAGACCTGGGTTTCAGACCGACATTAGCGAAGTTTCACCCGTGATCACTCGTGTCGATCCAGGAGAAGCCGTTGCAAGGTACGGAAAGGGACGAAGGCAGACGAATAGTTGTATCACCTGACTGCTCACTTGAATGGACAATACTATTTTGCAGGTCTTCTACCTCGGTGGTGCTATTTCTGTTGTCCTATACTTGCACACGTCTCTAAGGTAATAATTAATAGTATAAATGATAATGTCTAAATAAAATATAGAAATAACAAACTAGGGTCTTTAGATGTTCTGTATTCGGAGTACTGACTCTACTGTACCCTTATCTAGACTTGCCTCTTTAAAGGATAGAATTACAAAAGTATACATCCATGGGCTCAGCCTTCAGTACAGCCATGGAGCAAGGCTACTGTCGTCCGTGCACGACTTACATTTCCACGGAAACCATAAGATCTCTGAAGCCGAAACTTTGCTCGGATGATCCCAGATGATCTGGTTCAATTGAACACTGCTCGCAGATTTCTATACATTTGCAACATGACCCAACACTGCCGCTGTTACAGGTCATTGGCTCCCTCCCTCTGCAAGCAGTTTGCGTTCTGCTGTTTATTTTGTTGACAGTTACATAGACAGATTCTTTAATACAAATGCATAAAATCGGTGATTTACAATGTGATTAGGTTGTCTCACAAAACATCCACTTGCACAGTTTGAGATCGATTGGGTCATTGGATGAAGAGATATTTACAAAAAACCGGGTCCACATGCATTTCATGCCAAACTATACGATGCGTGAAGGCCATATATTCATATGTTAATGACGAGACCTATTGCAGTGCACCGTACAAGCAAACCAGCAAGTTGGATGTCCTGCTCGCGGTTGACCACAATTTCGAATGGACAGACGAAACGTTTTACTTTTCCACGAGTGAGTGATTGAGTGACTGAGTGAGTGGGTTTAGTTTCACGCCACACTCAGCAATATTCCAGCTGTCTGTAAATAATTGACTCGGGACCAGACAGTCTAGTGTTCAACAACATGAGCATCGATCTACGCAATTGGGATACGATGACATACTTTTTTCTTCCAATATTTACTGTATCAACAGATAGTGTAATTACTTACCTGAAATTTCCTTTCAAACAACTGGTCATAATGCCAAGCCGGTCAAGCTGACGTGTAGAGGGCTTATATAATAGTTTTGAGTGCTACATATTTTGTACATCCATAATACCGTGTTCGATATAGGTCGGCGTGTCACTGTATACAACTTTCAAGTTAACTGTAATATACGCACCCGTGAAGATCCGTGATAGATTTGGTCGGGGTCGGGTGGTCAGGCTCGCTGACTTGGTTGAGACTTGTCAGCGTATCCCATTTGTGTGGATCGATGGACATGCTGTTGATCACTGGATTGTCTGGTCCATATAGCCGCCATATAGCTGGAATGTTGCTGGGTGCGGCGTTAACAACCAACCAACCAATAAACTATGACATACGGCTTGAATTATTTGATCTTACGTTTAACCACATATCCAACTTCTGCTATGTTTGAGTATATTGTTGTGATTGATCCAATCTCTTATATACTTCATATGTTTTAAATTGTTTTTGCCGTTACTTATCCTATTACATTCTTTATTTTCTCACAGGGCAAAGTGTGGATATTCTCCGTCAGCGCGAACCGCCGACCTTTCAACTATGCGTAAGTGTTAATGTTAAGACATGTTAATTTATATTAGCAATATTCCAGCAATATCACGGCGAGGCACACCAGAAATGGACTTCAGACATTCTACCCATGTGGGGAATCGAACCCGGGCCTTCAGCGTGACGATCGGACGCTTTAACCATTAGGCTACCCCACAGCCCCGTTGATTTATTAATGTATTGACTGAGTGATCATGGGTCCTTGCGTTGTGTCAACAACTGATTTGGGGCTTTCTTGCCTCCCCTAAAACCCATGCTTGTACGAGGCGGTTTAGTGGATCAGGTGGTCAGGCTCGGTGGTTTGGTTAATGCCTGTCATCTTTCCCTAATGACGTGGGGTGTTCCTCTTAATATCATTCACTCGTTGACGGATGCAGTCAATGCTCAGTGCGTCGTTAAACAACTAAAGAGTAAGTGAGTGAGTTGAGTTTTACGCCACTCTCAGCAATATTCCAGCTACATGGCGGCGGTCTGTAAATAATCGAGTCTGGACCAGACAATCCACTGATCAACAGCATGAGCATCGATCTCCGCAATTGGGAACCGATGACATGTTTGTCAACCAAGCCAGCGAACCTGACCACCTGATCCCGTTACTCGCCTCTTACGACAAACATGGGTTGCTGAAGATCAGTTCTAACCCGGATCTTCACGGGTCAAAAACAACAAAAGACCATATAGAGTATATACAAGTGTTTCTTTGCTGAGGTAAAACCATGTACACTCTCGCTAATCCACCACCTTTTTAATCGAACATCATATCAGATATTACGATTTGTGTGACCCTTTTGCATGACGTGCTTAAAATGATTACTGAACACACGCAGCTGTACATAAACTTAGGAGCTGGACGTAGCTTTCGATATTGATTGAAGCGCAGTAAAATAACTGAAACTTCCTCAAGCAATTGCCGCTGACCGTGTCTGAACTGGTTCAACAGCAATGGGTTAACGATGAACAAGATTACCTTCATTGCCTAAGACAAAATCATAGTATTTGTCAAGTCGAATATCGTGTGGATGTGGTGTATGTGGTGGTGGGTAGCTTAGTGGTTAAAGCGTTCGCTCGTCACTCCGAAGACCCGGGTTCAATTCCTCACATGGGTACAATGCGTAAAGCCCATTCCTGGGATATTGCCAAAAGCAGCGTAAAACTTTATTCATTTATAATCGAAGATAGGATTTGTCGGAGATTTGTCGGTTGAATCGGAATTAAGACATGATTTTAATGTGACTTCCTTTAAAAAATCCACAGTATGTTTATCTTCATAACTTCAGGGATGAGACTGGGAAACTTGTGGGATTTGATTTGGACCTCATAAACAAAGGTGAGTTTTCCCCTTAAAATACGCTTGAAAGGCATAAAACGCAATAAGATAATGGTAGATTGAGAGATTATCGGGGTTACCGCAAAACTTCGTAAAATCAGTTTTTGAAAACTGGCCGAAAATTTAACTATGATACGATAAATGGGTAGGAATATCGTATGGAATACTGTAAGGGCCATTCTCGCGATCTCGACATTTGGAAACAAGTTAAAATGCCAAAAGTGCGAGGTCGCGAGAACGTCCCTTACAGTATTCCATAGTTACCACGTTACGTATCATCTGTTGTAGGCTCACTATGAAAGGTATTAGTTATAACTACTAGTATGTCCAGACATTGTAATTAGTACTGTGTCTGAGGTCGATATACCGCTTGATTAGGGTAAGTTTTTACTGTTACGATATAGATAAAAATGAAGTGTTGGCATAAAATATGTATTTACGTGTAAGTGATTAAGATTTAATAATTTATGAAAGGATAATAGTTGACCCATATGTGTGAAAAGTATTTGTGATGGAGTGAAGTATGATGAAGTATTATAGGTCGTATAGAAATGCTTGAGGTATCTGGGCGGATCCTATCTTTCATGTTTTAGTGTGTTCCACGGCTGGCGTGAAGTGTGCGCCCACAGTACAACCCTTCTCTGAGTGTATACAGACTGTCGACGGTCGCTTCTTTCCAGGGCGAGGTGAGTTGAGGAACAGAAGCTGCTGAACACGACGGAATTTGTTGGATGGTCTTGCGAATCCTCTCCCTGTGCGTGTGCGTGCAGAAATGCTTTGTTACATGCTGGACCCTATCCACAAAACGGTCGTAGCACTATGCCATTCGTAAGCCTATTCGTCACGCCGAAGACCCGGGTTCGAATCCCCACATGGGTACAATGTGTGAAGCCCATTTCTGGTGTCCCCCGCCGTGATGTTGCTGGAATATTGCTAAAAGCGGCGTAAAACCAAACTCAGTCAGTCAGTCAGTCGTAAGCATATGGTAAAGTATAGATTTACGATGTGTCGTACATGAGGAGAGAAATCTAAGGTTGATGAGTTGCGTGGTTCTCCTATGTCAGTGGGCAACCTGGAGGAGATCACTGATGACAACCATGCCGTTGTATCCACATCAGTTGGCAGTGAGCACTACGTCAGCATCCTCTCCTTTGTTGGTAAAGATCAGCTGGAACCAGGGTGTGATGAAATGCCTATGGTAAAGTATCGAGTTACGTTACGTAACGTTGCGTTCGCTTTGTGGATCGGTACCCAGTTCGTGTATGTTCGCCAGACAATAACTTTCAAACATTTGTTTACATGTTGTACTCTTATCCCTGCAGGTTTAATGTCCGGCTGGTTTGACGCGTGCATGGGTTACACAATCACCCAGGAACGGGTCAACGCTGTCCAGTTCACGAACCCCTATATCCAGACTTACGCCAAGTTCACGGTCAAGCCGGGCAACCCCCGTGGGGTCAACCTGAACACCCTGTCACAAGCCACAATCAGTACGTACAGAACACATCGTTAGACATATAGACTCATAAATATTAGGAAGGCAACGCCTCTGGAACAGACGATTCAAGTTTTCTCCTGCACCGCACAGTGTCGTGCAGAGTTGTGTCCCTTGGTCTGTCTGATTGGTGAAGCAGTAGAAGTACTATATTATGGAACATCTTCTTTCAAAATTGATCTAGTTGTCTTGTAACATGAAACTCGCCCAAATATAATCCATGCATAGTTAAATTGAATTGAATATGCAGTGTCTTATGAGATTCGTGTCATTTTGTCATGGTACATTAGTATGAACGTTCCATGAATTATCTCCCTTATAGTAACACATTGTCTTGGGAAGAATACAACTGGATTTGCAGCCTGGTTCCCGGGGTCTGCTGCGCTACGTGGACGCGTTAGCGCAGCAGAACCCGGTAACCAGGCTGCTGGATTTGTAGTCAGGCCAGGTGAAGTGTTTCATTGTATGCCATCGAAAACGTTGATCATTATGGCACTTGTTTTAATCTGGTCATGATTGGATTATGCAAAGGATGCCCTCAAATTAAAGCATGGGATATTGCCGAGGGCTGCTTTAAACAACACATACATATAATCGTTGAAGGCGGCTGTTCGATGTTACAATGCTTCGTATATTTCATAGGTTTAACAATTTTTCATTTGAATTGCAAATACCTACCTTTGAACGGATAGTTCACCTGTTGTACGTCGTTTAGTGTAACGGTTTAGTAACCGATCTAATTAACTTGCCCAATGTGACTTGAGAAATCTCACGGTACAGGCGTGAGCAGGTCATGCCTAACGCCATTAATTTGAATATTGCAAAAATTGGCGTTGAACCATGTACTCATTAAACAGTTAACCGTTCCGTTGAAAGTGTGTCCTCAGGTTCTGTATAGTTCGCAGTTCATCTGTACTGTATTGTTGCAGCTTAAATGTGGCATAAAAGTCTTTCATAGGCATTTAGGAAATGGAAGAATATGAACACTTCACTATTTGAAAGGTGAAACAAAACGTCTTGACCTTTCAACTGGTAGACAAGTCGTCATCCACAAAAGTTTAATGACTACATAAGTATACAAGCTAAACAAAACGCCACCAACCTAAACAAAACACCAACAAAACGGCCCGACCAGCAGGTGTGAGCGCATGTCGAATCCTAACGAGTAGTTCCCATTGTTTGATTGGCCATTTAGAGGATTTTTAGTAACAGTAAATTCAAGATTGATACTTTTTATTGATGACAGCCTCTTTGTTCTATGATGATGCGAGTGTGTACATGTGTTTCATAATAGAGTGAGTAAGTTTAGTTTTACGCCGCTTTTAGCAATATTCCAGCAATATCACGGTGGGTGACATCAGAAATGGGCTTCACACATTGTACCCTCGTGGGGAATCGAACCTTGGTTTTCGGCGTGACGAGCGAACGCTTTAACCACTAGGCTACCCCACCGCCCGCATCATAATAGAAAAAAGAATTTGTCCATATAATTTGCATCACTGTCCAGTGTATATGACTAAGGTCATTATTCTTTTGTTTACATTTGTATTATATTTGCTATTTTTATTTATTTTCTGACAAAAGAAAGCTGTCATCCATAAAAGAATCTTCCGTTACTGCTTCCCCTTTGTGCCAAACATCGTGCAGTCACGGAATATATATGGGATAATTATCCAAGAAAAGCATTAAATGATGCGTCAGCAACTACCGTCACAGATTCACGAGAGAATGTGTCCCCTAACAGTGGTGATGTATACACTATAATTCGTTCACGGCCTCGTTCTCTCAAAATATTCATACATTCACAGATAGAGGGCACTTGGTGAACCCAACAGAAAGGGGAATGACTGTCGGAGGCGCACTTCCATATCCCCCATAGTCTTTTAAAAACCTATACCGCTGCCTATTTAAATGGAGGATATCAGTGAAGTATGATTCATGATCAGAAACGAAAACAGGTATCTTCTTTTGTAAGACTAAGGTTTTAACGGGTCTATACTTTGCGACGGGAGTGGCCTTATGAAGAGTTGATAACAAACGATGTGCGAATGAGGGGTTAATGTCACTACGGTATATACATGTCTCCGATGGCCATGGATCACAGATTGTTGATGTTTGGTTTGTAAAATACCCGTTTTCATGTTTTTACCAGATCCGGGTTAGAATTGGTCTCCAGCAACCTATGTTATTCATAAGAGGCGACTAACGGGATCGGGGGTTCAGGCTCGCGGACTTGGTTGATACATGTCATCATATCCCGATTGCCGAGATTGATGCTCATGATGTTGATCACTGGATTGTCCGGTCCAGACTCCATTATTTACAGACCGCCGCCATATAGCTGAATATTGCTGAGTGTGGCGTAAACAACAATCAATCAATCATGTTTTCACCAACGATTTTGGGAGGCTCTTCTACCACCCCTCTCTTCCCTGATTTGACAAAGGATTTAATTTAACTCTGGAGAAAATGTTTTTGAAACCGTTCAATGATGACGCACGTGATACCGTGAACGAATAGTGAGTGAGTGAGTGAGTTTGGTTTAAGGACGTTTTGAACAGTGTTCCAGTGATATCACAGCGTGTCAACGATGTAAGTCTTAGACGCTTAACACTTTTGGGAAATTGTAACACAAACAAAATCACACTGAATTTGGGATTCGAACCCATGTTCATAAGTTTCTGACACGCCTAAACGATACAACGGTGCCAATCCGAACCCATGTACAAAAATGTTTTGATAGGCTTTGTATATAACGCCTGACCGAGCACTCTTTTTGAAATAAAATGTATTCAAATACTTGACAATTTATGTATCGATAGATAATTAAGGGCGTCACATTTCATGGGTTTCGTGCCCACGTGCTATCGTGCATGGAGCGTGGATAAACCATTTCAACCTGAGTAGATATTGAGCTAATTACCAAACTGAAACTAATACAGCTATTTGTCAAAATGAACTCGTCGAGATCATTAAACTGAAACATCAAAGCTCATTATCAACAAAGTGGCAACTTGCATTCCAGTCCTTGTCAAAAACCATACATGACACGTCGGGAGACGAGGTAGCCTAGTGGTTAAAGTGTTAGTCATCGCACTGATGCTTGGGTTTGATTCCCGACATGATTATATCTGAAGCCTTTTTCTTTATGGCCACCGACGTGATGTCCCCTCGATTATCCACATCGATATCATAGAAACTGGAATGGATAAAACAGGCACTGTGCTACGACTGGACTATGGTTTGGTGCCAAGTCCTCTCAGTATGCAGGTGCTACCCTTTGGAACTCTCTGCCTCTTGGCCTAAAACCAGTACCAACTCTGCCACTCTTCAAAAACAGACTCAAAACTCACCTCTTTCAACGCTATGTTTCATAAATCCTTGTATTTTCTTGTACATGTGAAGGCATTGCCCTTGTGTGGTGAAAGTCAGCGCTATATAAATACTCTTATTTTAATTATTATCGTCGTTAAAAGCATGGTTTTACACACACAAACTCACACATACTAACTATACGATCCTACTATTGATAGGGGTATTTTTATCTCTCCATATGATGTACAAAACTGATTGTCATAAAATGTTAATTGTATGAATAATTCAAATATAACGAAATATATGCTTAGTTTAATATTTTAGGAACTTGGGCTGTGGGTAAAACATGTAAAGTGTGCATCGAATTTCCAGGATGAAACCGCATCCTCTGACTGATTTTTAAAATTTGTTAGGAATAGCATGTTCAAACTGCCTTGACAGCTGAAAATATGAAACTTCAAGTTGAGTCGAAAGAACAAACTATCGTTCATGCCTGCGAATACTTGTGGGTGGGGTACGGGATGGCCTATGTTGTTGCCAGTAGAACTGAGTACAGTGATATAGTGTAGGCGTAATCATTGAGGATTATAAACATTTAATACGTTTTACTCATACGGGTTAATCATGATAATACGGACGTATGTAGACATATGGCCAGCTGTAAGGGCTTTAAGGCTTTAAGATCAAGTCCAGCTGTAAGGGATTTAAGGCCCGAGGATCAGGGACGTGTTTTGGACGTTTTATCCAAACGAAGCACCGACTATTATATTTTCCTCAAGTGAGATTCCACTTTGGATAAATTGATGTTTTTCGTATTTTTAGCTAACCCGAAATGAAGTGCAAATGATATCAAGATCTGTTTCGGCTGTAAACTTTCAGTTTACTTTTATTATCACGTATAAAGAAGCTGCATCATCGATTTTCCAGAGTATTATATGTACATTGTAATATGATGAATGCAATCGGTCCATTTGTCACTATAGTACCCGTGAAAATCCGGGTTAGAATTGATCTTCAGTAACCCATGCTTGACGTAAGAGGCGACTAACGGGATCGGGTGGTCAGGCTCGCTGACTTGGTTGACACATGTCATCGTATCCCAGTTGCGCAGATCGATGCTCATGTGTGATCAATTACATTCGATTATTTACAGAAGGACAGACTCGGCGTAAATTCAAAATTACTGTTAGCGAAGAATGTCTAAATGGTCCAGGGTATTATTTAATGGAATGGAGACATGATGCCTTGAATAGTCGCCGATGAAGAAGCTGAAACTCCATAGTTGATTCCCAGCGCATTGATATCTGATCCAATTTGAAACCTTGCCCGTGGCAGCCATTTTGAAACTGTATTTATTACATTTTTGCATGACTTCTGATGTATTGTAGGTGTGTGGTACACAAGTACTCACTGACCTTCACACTTTTGGTTTTATCTTGTAGCTCATCTGAACGGTGCCTACACCAACCAGCAATGTCTGAACCGGCTCAACTACTCCGTCAGCGGGGTGGTCGTTGCTCCCAACCTTCCTGTGGCAAAGGAGCTGGTTCTAAACGGCACGGTACCTTGTAAAATTTAATTTATTGAATACTCTTCTTTTTTTTTAAAGGAAGTAATATGAAACTTTGATGCTTGATTTGGCTGCCATTAACCGAGTTCCAAATCCTTTGATTGTTACTCTGAGGCCACAAAATAGATTTAAGGTCACTGGTTTTATATAGGTATTTATGTCACCACTATAGGCACCCAGCCTCATTACGATCGGACCTTTAACCATTATGCAAAGCCTGTCTGGGTTAAGATTTGAGGATATCTCCATAGGCGGTAGCGTGAACCCTGAGCGAATTATGACCACCCGATCTAAGTGAAAACTGGGTTTGTACACTGCCAAACAGTTTGCAAAACAAATCGGCTTAATTATATTACCACCCCAATCAACAGGGCTCAGAATTCTTTTGTTGTTTGAAGCCGTGTACAGCAACATTGCAGCTATATGGCAGGGGTTTGTAAGTAATCGAGTCTTGGCCAGACAATAAAGTGATCAACAGCATGGACATCGATGGAATACGGTGACATGTGTCAACCAAGTCAGCGAGCCTGACCGCCTCTTACGACTTGCATGCGTAGCTGAAGACCAGTTCTAACCCGGATCTTCACGGGTTATGGCTCTCAGAAAAACAGGATACATTAAATGTCCACTACAGCATAACGACACTTTTCACTGTCATTTTAATTCGTTTTTGAAACATGCTTCCTGTTTTTTACCCTTCTTTCACTAGTACCGTGAATTTAGAAGACAAGAGGTTGATTTGTTGACAAGAATAGAGGTGTCTCTAGATCATCGCGCATAGAGGTATTATATCCTGATATAGAATCTGATTTTAATTTGATTGAGGCTACGGAATGATCCGTTAAAAATATACAGCCGAGGTATGATGTACAACACAGTTCACCGCAATGAGCTACAAATAATAATTTATTTTTGAAAACACAGACACCACTTCCTTAATCATTTACCTCGAAACTTCCATCGGGGATGCAGCCATCTTGTTTTTAAAACGTGTACCGGTTTTCGTTTTCGGTTTTGAATCAGTGAATGTTGAATTAACTTTTCTGGACACTCCTCAAAGTGGTCAGCCCAGTCAAGGGAAACATAATGCTTGACTATAACGTATAGTCTGAAATATACGATCTCAGAATAAACTTGCCTACGTTAAAGCTGACCTACGATGGTGTTTGCGTTGTTCAAAGTGTGGGACGGAAAGCCAGAAGAGAAATCACCGTTGTACAATCATATTACAGGTCGACGCAGCATTCTCACCAAGGTCGAGAATACCTGACCTTGAGACGCTGGACATCACCCTTCAGTGTGACCTTGGTGGCGTGGCTGTCATGGTAACAAAGGGAAGTACGCTCTCTGATTGGTGGAACCCAGCTTATGAAAAGTTCGTAAAGTCGGGAGAATATCAGAAAATGTGTGAAGCATGGCGGTCCAGGTCAAGTAAGTGAGGGTTGAACTGTTTCAACAATAACACAAATGTCCCGATTATATAATATGAAGGTTCTAAAAGGTTTCCATAGTTTGCTTTACCGTTGTTGATTTACAGTTACCTTGAATTGCGTTTACTGGATAATTTTTAGAAATGGTTTACAACAGTGAAACATGATCTGATGTAAACGACATGATTGTCTCGAATTAGGAATACATTGATATCACTTCAGTTGTACATATAATTTCAAACGAAAGTTTGTTTGTGTTAAAATGTCGTGTTCAGCGATATTCCAGCTATATGGCGGCGGTATGTAAATAATCAAGTCTGGACCAGACAATCCAAGCATGAGCATCGATCTACGCAACTGGGATACGATGACATTTCAGCCAAGTTAGCGAGTCTCTTCACCCGATCCCATTGCGAACGAAGGAGGGTGAAGACTAGCCCAGTGGTTAAAGCGGTCACTTGTCACACCCCATATCCATGTTCGACTCTTGGTTATAGATACAATGTATGAAGCCCTTTTCTTGTGACCTCCACTGTGAAATTGCTGGGATATTGAGTAACGGTAACCAATAGTGTAAATCTAGGGTTACTCAGTCACTAGAATGAAAGAGGTTTAGCTGCATTGCATTGTGGGTCTGAAATATTAGTGGGGTAGCCTAGTGGTTAAAGCGTTCGCTCGTCACGCCGAAGGCACATGTGTGCAACCCATTTCTGGTGTCCCTCCGCCACGATATTTCTGGAATATTGCTAAACGCAGCGTAAAACTAAACTCTCTCTCTCTCTCTCTCTCTCTCTCTCTCTCTCTCTCTCTCTCTCTCTCTCTCTCTCTCTCTCTCTCTCTCTCTCTCTCTCTCTCTCTCTCTCTCTCTCTCTCTCTCTCTCTCTCTCTCTCTCTCTCTCTCGCTCGCTTTCCTTTTCATGGCAGAAAACATGTTTGGTAACATAATTGTTAACATACAGTATACCCAAACTTGTCTTTTCAAGGCAGAAAACATAATTGTTAACATACAGTATAACCAAACTTATCTTTTCAAGGCAGAAAACATGTTTGGTAACATAATTGTTAACATACAGTATAACCAAACTTACCCCTGTTTCAGCATTGTCTATCAAATGCTTCGAGGATGCAAGCCATGCAGAGGTGAAAGCGAGTTGCCAAACTGTAGCAGTGGTCAGTTGGTGTTTGACTGTCACAATGCTGCTGGTCAGTCTCTATAATAGCGGGTTCCGGAGATAACCAGCGTCCTTCGGTCCAGAAAACAGGAAACACTTCTAACGGACGTTACACAGGATGCCCAGTCTCAAATACGGCACCGAAATGGCAGGAACTTCTTGCCGATATAAAACTCAGTCGTATTCCATTAAGTTCATATTATACATGACACTAGAATACAGTAAAACTCCGTTAATCCGGACACCTTATTATTAACGCCTATGTGTATGCATGAAGGACACAGTGCTGTATCAATAACCAAACAAATCTCAATGTGAACAGTACCCCCAAACAAAGGCAGCTGTTCTGTTGACAGAACCAATAACAACGTCCGATTATGAAGGTTATACTCCGGATATAACGAACCCCTTTCTTGACATTTCGTTTTAACCGATTCAAAAGCACCTCTCCTCTGTGTTGACCTGTGTTTAGTACTTCAGCAATAGTCCACCTCTTTCACGTGACACATTTTGTATGTCGTATATTTTATATAAGTAAATAAACCTTTTAGTTCCTGTTGTTTGTTGTATGCTCACAATAGCTGGGAGCTCAGGAGTTTGCATGAACCATATACCGCGGTACTTTAAATATACTACTCAAGAGAAGTCAAGAAAAACGATTCCTTCCTATGACTGTAGTTAATATGTCATGGCATGCAGTTTGTCTATAATAATCTGACCGAATACGTAGTTCTCTACCTTAAATTCTCTGATGCTCATGCTGTTGATCACTGGATTGTCTGGTCCAGACTCGATTATTTACAGACCGCCGCCACATAGCTGAAATATTGCTGAGTGCGGCGTAAAACTCAACTCACTCACTCACTTAAATTCTTTGAAGCAATATATATTATATATGTTGTATATACCTATACACCATATATATATTGAGATTCAGACCTAAGCAATAGCTAACCAATGACAAAACCACCGCATCACCAGATCAGTATTAGAGTATATACTATTAAAAAGGTAGGGGAACTTCATTTTTAATTTACGATTGAAAAGATTGGGAGATATATTGGAGTCAATCGATGTTGATATGATAATAATGAATGTTTTAAGAGTGCATCGCCACTTGGACTTCCTTATGACCATAGTTGTTTGTACAGTAATTGCTCTTGAAAGATGATTGGTGTATGACGTGACAATTTCAAACCAAAGAGCCCGGCTAGAAACAAACACTAACAACTGTGTGATGCAAGATGATGTACAGTGGTTTATCGGCCTTCTTGAAAACCGTCAAAATCAAGAATTGACACCCCATGCACGTGTATGGGTTACTGCGTTGTACACGTGCATCTCATGCGTTGTGCAAGTGTTTATGGGTGGTGAGAAATAGTGGTGCGTTTATAAGATGTATGTCTTTGAAAAGTTTGTTTAAATTTATTTATTATTTTTTTATTGTTCCCAATGTGATGAGTACAAAAACATGATGGGTACAAGCATATAGAGGAATATGTGCACATACAAGCTAGTGGGCTCAATAGTGCACTAAGTACTTTGAATATCAATATCAGTTATATGTTTTTGTTTAATAGTCATTCAGGGTTAAATTCAGGGTTGAGAGGAAACCATTTGGCTAAAAAACTTTCAACATTTTTATTTCTTCTGGAGATGAATGATTCAGTGGTAAATATGTCTTTCAATATCCTTAGTAATTATCAACTCGTGGAATTGTTTTTGTCAAAGAGCAAGTGTAAATATATCTCTTAGCAGATAAGATTATGTGGTTCAGTAATGGGTTCTTACCTAAAAAGCCAAACCAGATCTGGTCTTTGAAAAGTTTGTTAACGCTTATGCTTCCTATCCAAATTGACAGTTCAGGTTCCCCTACTTTTTGAAGAGTATAGAACCCAAGCATCACTGGTACACGTAAATGTACATAGGATTCGTTCTCTATCACAGGTACAGACTTTACTATTCACTGCGATGCAGAGCATTACTAACACCGGAGTCTTGTGCAGTGAAAAAATAGTTAATAAATCATTTTCCCCCATAATAAATCATGTGTTAATTTTCACCCACAAACAGGCATTACACATCTTATTCCCTATAATTTAAATTTTAAACAAACTGATCAAGACATCTGCGTTGATCTACTGTTGAAAGGTGTAATTCATGTGGGGCGTGGATATGTTGTAAAGACATGTATATGACATACACCACCAAGTAAACAAAGACGGCATAACGGTGGCTGTTTCCCGGGGACAATAACATGATGTTGGGTAGAGAGTTGTGATATCCCTATGCATTTAAGAATTGCTATATCAAGGTTTAGATGCAGTAATTTTAATACGGCTGTTGAATGTGGCAGGTATAATGGAATTTAATATAACGAAAGGCTATTTCCTTATTGTAAAGCCAGACGCCAGCATTATATTGAAAATGAATATCATGTACTATTTATCTGTAATGCCTATGATATACTTAGAAAGAAGTATAACAAAGTTCACTGAAGAACCACTTACTCCTTACTCTGTCGTAAATCTTTTGCAAAGCAAAAATGATGCTGTCATATACAAAGTTGGCCTATACTTATACCATGTACAGAAATTGATAAACTCCAGGACATACAGCTGCAAAGTTGTTGTGCGCTCCCACTAAACACAATGTCAGTCTGATTGTATTATGGGCGAGGGCCTCTTTACTGAATAAATACTGTCTGTCTGTTAGGTAGAGAGGCGGGAGAGAATAAAAATGTAATAAACTAATTTATTATGGCTTTACCTGTCAATCTTGTAGCACATTTCTGACGTAAATTGTATTCTGTAGAGACTGATGCAGGAACAGAGGGAGGAGCAGCGGTCATATCTGTCAGTCTGTTGCTGGAAGCGGCCATAAAATGCCCACGCTTTTCTTTTCACTTTCGTCGGGAAAAGATTCTGTCCCAAAACGCACACCCATCAAAGCAGTGGGAATATTAATGCGGAATACACTGAATACATCGTCTACCCATATTGGTGGTTATCACCAGTAACACAATCAACGGCATTATAAAAATCAACGATGGTGTTTTGATGTCTGAAAAATATGCAAAAATAAGAAATATCTTGAAAATAGAAGCAATAAGACCATTAATCTTAGTTGTATATACTGAACAGTGATGCAGGGTATTTCATGGACAACATCTATATTCTATTATGATGCACACGTACACACTCGCATCATACCAGAACACAGTAGTTAATTTATTCATTAATATTTTGCCTTTGTTGTTACTTAACTTCTCAAAATACAAATCTTAAAGTATAAAATCTGAACAAAAATTGTTATGGTCATCTGTTATTTGAGGATGCTGTTAAGCTTTAGCACACAATTACATGAAAACTTATGATCCCTAATGGCTTCTTTGTTTAGTATAAAAGCAATAGCTCGGTTAATTTGAAATGCACAAATTTATCTTAACTTTGTACAAACACAATACTTCAAATGAGAATGCCATGGTGCAGGTGCTTACATACATTTTTCTCTCTCTCCCCCGGCCCCCCGATGTCAAATGCATGACAATATGAATTACATCTGAGTAGCATTAAATGTGGCAGAATATCATTTATGTCAAATATAAATGAATCATCAGTTAAGTACGCTTTTTGCTCATGGAAATTATACAACTAAACTTCATATATCGTATAAACCAGCGCTCTACATATACTCAGGGCGTAACGACTGACGATGTGTTTGGTACCCGCTAAATAACAAAACACTATAATTCCTGCCACTTGAAGTAGATTCACGAAATCTCGCGCTGATTGATTGAAGTACACAGCTATATAAGTTTTAGTACATATAAAGTGAAAACAAGCCATTCAGGCGGTAAGAAATATTACTTACAGTAATGACAAAAAAAATGCAAAGTGCGCTTTTGAAGAAATATCCATTTAGCAAGCTGTAAACGTCGTGATTTCGGTTTGATCACCTGGTTACAATCCTCAAGAATCGACAGACAGGTGACTGAAAGCGGCTCTTAATCATGGCGGTATTTCGTTAATGTTTTCAGGTTGCTAGGACTGATATCTTACTGGGAGATCAGTTATCGCTTCTAAACGACGATGAAACACGTAGAATTATATGAAAATTAGTTGTAAATTGTACTATTTCTGTCTGTTGAACAAAATTTACATTGTCATAAATTAATTCGAATATACTAAACATATTTCTATTTTCCCATACTGAACTGTATGTTTCCACTGTGTTTTTGGATGATAACGCAGCAATGCATACATATATAAATTTTGTGATCACATCTGTCAATGCTTTGAAAAGTTCGTTTAGAAAAAATTACCCCCTTTCTGGCATATTTGAAAGAATTGGATGACAATCTAAATCTAAAAGAGTCAATACAAACCGATGGTTGATAGCAGTACAGACTGTTTAATAATGTTTGAAGAATGAAATACAGTGAGCCAGGTCAGATAGTATAACCACCCGATGCATATTTCAGGTTGTTCTTTAAACCCACGTGGGTAACTTCGTCCTATTGTGACCCAGTATATCGGCGAACATTGTATATATATATATGTAAAAGTGTTGTTACTGAAGAGAGGGAGACCTTTTTGACATTGTATCAACTCTGTGTATAAGCTAACCAGCCTGGGCCCCGTTTCAGAAAGCGAGCGTAGCGCTACAACTGTCGTACCTCCTATACTGGGCCCCATGTCAGAAAGCTATCGTAGAGCTACGACTGTCGTACCTCCTATACTGGGCCCCGTTTCAGAAAGCTATCGTAGCGCTACGACTGTCGTACCTCCTATACTGGGCCCCGTTTCAGAAAGCTATCGTAGCGCTACGACTGTCGTACCTCCTATACTGGGCCCCGTTTCAGAAAGCTATCGTAGAGCTACGACTATCGTACCTCCTATACTGGGCCCCATTTCAGAAAGCTATCGTAGCGCTACGACTGTCGTACCTCCTATACTGGGCCGCGTTTCAGAAAGCTATCGTAGAGCTACAACTGTCGTACCTCCTATACTGGGCCCCCTTTCAGAAAGCTATCGTAGAGCTACAACTGTCGTACCTCCTATACTGGGCCCCCTTTCAGAAAGCTATCGTAGCGCTCCGACTGTCGTACCTCCTATACTGGGCCCCGTTTCAGAAAGCTATCGTAGCGCTACGACTGTCGTACCTCCTATACTGGGCCCCGTTTCAGAAAGCTATCGTAGCGCTACGACTGTCGTACCTCCTATACTGGGCCCCGTTTCAGAAAGCTATCGTAGAGCTACGACTATCGTACCTCCTATACTGGGCCCCATGTCAGAAAGCTATCGTAGCGCTACGACTGTCGTACCTCCTATACTGGGCCGCGTTTCAGAAAGCTATCGTAGAGCTACAACTGTCGTACCTCCTATACTGGGCCCCCTTTCAGAAAAGCTATCGTAGAGCTACAACTGTCGTACCTCCTATACTGGGCCCCTTTCAGAAAGCTATCGTAGCGCTCTACAACTGTCGTACCTCCTATACTGGGCCCCTTTCAGAAAGCTATCGTAGAGCTACAACTGTCGTACCTCCTATACT